GCTGGCCTGGGAGCGCCTTGGGGTCCCCCCAGAAGAGCTGGAGGAAGTGTCGAGGGAGAGGGAAGTCTGGGTGTTCCTGCTCAGACTGTTGCCCCCGCGACCTGGCCCCGGATAAGCGGTTGATGATGGGTGGATGGATGGACCTGTGACCTTTGTGTGACCTTGAATATAGTGTATACCAACAGACCAAGTGTTTTCGTGTTGGTGGGAGGTCGTACTGTGTATCGTGCTCTCTAATACTATGACCTTAAGAGCTGGAGTTTCAATCTCAGCACAGATGTTTCCAGAAAACCTTTATAAGACCTGAGCACCAACAAACACAGAGACAACATGACTGCTATTTTAAAATATTAGTTAAAAATCTTTTAAAAAAAGTTTTGGTCCTGAATATGTCAGAAAAAAAATGATCTAATCTTTCCCCAAAATTGAATAATATGGATGACCTAATCCAGGGGCACTAACCCCAAATGTCACTCACAGACAGGCATTTTTTCTACGTACATTAAATTTAGGAGCCTTGTGTACAAAACTTCTTCTTTTCCTTTCGGCTTGTCCCTTTTTTCAGGGGTTGCCACAGGAATCAATATTTTCCATATCTCCCTGTTCTCTGCATCTTCTACTCTGACTCTATATCTGCATGTCCTCCCTCATCCATCAATCTCCTCTTTGTCTCCTACCTGGTAGCTCTATCTCTAGCATTCTCCTGCCACTGTATCCACTGTCCCTCCTCCGCACATGTCCAAACCATCTCAATCTGACTTCTCTAGCTTTTTCTCCAAACCACCCTATCTGTGTTGTCCCCCTAATGCCTATTGCTAGTGTCTATAAAACCATACATCATGGCTGGTCTCACCACTGTCCTGTAAACCTTTCCCTTCTCCCACCTTAGCTGACAGTCTTCTATCACAGATCACTCCTGACACTTTTCTCCAGCTGTTCCATCCTGCCTGCACTCTATTCTTTACCTCTCTTTCACAGTCTCCACTGCTCTGAACAGTTGATCCTAAGTACCTAAACTCCTGCACCTTCACCACCTCTGCTCCTTGTAACCTCACTATTTCACTGTTCTCCCTTTCCCTTTCTGTACACTCTGTCTTGTGTACAGAACAATATGAGTAATATGTCTTGTGGAGTATAGTGGTTTTATTTTTTTATATATATATTTTATTTTATTTCAAAAATGAGAAGCATTTTTGTCGTATAACACAGTGACTGCAAAAATAACTACTTCCTTAAAGTCCATAACTGGGGAACACAATTTTTTCTGCTGTTTTTAACTAATTTTTGGGTTTGGAATCCAAAACCGATCTTAGTTTTTCTCAATCACGTCAAGTTTTTGAACTATAGGATCCCCGTTTTCTTAAAAAAATATGAAAATGAAATCTGCATCATTGATCTCGTTCTTCAACATCACTCAGATCTTCTAGAGGAGGTAGTTGTTCGAAAACTGACACTGGAATTTTAGTTGAATGAGGCATTGGTCCTATAGCTGACGGTAGATTAGGATATTCTATTTTACTTTTATTTTTCTTGTTAATTCCTGATGTTTTCACTAAACAAAAGTAACAGTCTGTGCAATGATCTTTTTGCTCTTGCCAAACCATGGGGATACCAAATGCCAACTTTTCACGTGTTCCTTTGGTCCACATCTGTAAACTCTCGACACACTGCTTGCACACTTTGTGAGGGGCCCATGGCTTGTCTTGATCACCAAGTTTTACTTAAAAATATGCAAAATATGCCTGTTTGCCCTCTGACTTGAAATGGTGAAACTACTACAAATATAACAAAAGGAGTCAGGGTTGTTTAGGCATTTACGACGAGAAGTAGCAGGAGCAGATATGATCTGGAACAAAGGAAATATATACCTATGTAAATAAAACACTAAGATGGAATAGTTAGAAGCTTTGATAACTAAAAAAACACGGCCCATGGTTACAAGGTTAATAGAAAAACCAGCACAAATCCTCTTAATTCCTACTATGCTAGCTTTCTGTTTGCAGATATTGATAGTACCGACCTATTGGAAGCTGCACACACCTCGCACCATCTTAACTCCTTCGGGTCTAGGTGAACCCCGAGATCCAATATGTCTTTGTCTCTCTCTCTCTCTCTCTCTCTCTCTGTGCGTGTGCATGTTCCTGTACTGCATGACTTGTGCCAACTTTTCCTCATATTCATTAATACTCATATTCTGGGACAAGATGAAAATCATTGCAAGGACATACGGTATGTACGAAAATGCGAAGTACCGCACAAGGGTCAATTGTGACTGCACAAACAAGTTGCCACATAGCTGTTGATGAGTCCAATCATAAGTCTTACTACAGCTAATCAGTGGAATTTTGCTTATCTGGAGGGTAAGCTGTGGAGAAAACACAAAAAAACTGACTGCAATTTTGGAATCAGCATGCCAATTCTAGTTTTAATCAGCATAAAAATCTAACCTAAGAGAATTCTTTTTTTCAAATTGTTCCCCAGTGTAACGGGCCAAAGCTGTTATTTTCTAATGAATCTACAACGTTTCTCTGAATCTAAAACACTGGAAATTATATTCATTTTAATTAGTAAAGGTCATTTACAAATCAATTTCCTAGAAGGTAGTTGAATATACAAAACTATCAGTGCAGACGTGACAGTCGGTGGAATGAACGCAGTGTGGCAATGTTGGTGTTGCATTTACTGTCATCTAGTGACATTTGAGCTCACTACATCAACATAGTGGTAAGCGATAAAGTTGAATGAATGTTAATGAAGTCCTGACTGGCCAAAAGGAAATGGACCATACAGACTATAATGACTGTATCAATAAGGTTCTCTTTTACTTTTTTTTTTGTTTGTTTTTAACCAAGTTTTACATTCACTGTGATGTACTGTTATGAATGAAACAATTTTTCTTCTGTTTAATCTGGAATTGATGTTCATATGTATCTCCTCATTGATACTAAATCAACATTATCCAAAACCAACAGTTTCTCATTTGATATTGACAATTGGTCCATTTCTCCCTCCCCACAGGTTAAGAGTCTGGGTGTCATCCTCGACAGCACACTATCTTTTCAATCTCATATCAACAACATCACCCGATCCACCTATTTCCACTTACGCAATTTCAAATTCTTAATGTTTTAATGTTTTATTGTTTTTTAATGCTGTGTTGTTATCTTTGTATTCACTGTAAGGTGTCCTTGGGTGACAGAAAGGCGCCTATGAAATAAAATGTATTATTATTATTATTATTATATAGTGGTTCTGACAAAAATAACCAAAGTCCTGTCTGCATGACCAGATCTATCAGATAATGCTTGTTTCCATCTTTTTCAGTCCAGTTGTTTTTTAAAGCACAGATTAAATTTGTGATCAATAATCACGGCACAAACTCATTCTTTCACCTCATCCTGATCTCAACAAGCGTTAGATCTGAGGACTATGACAGTCCGCCGGGGCAGAGGTCATGGTCATCAGGTCCTAACATGTGCATGAAGGTGCCCAGGTTTGTTCAGTGCTGCAGCACCAATTCTCTCTATGTTTCTTCACTGTCTGTACATAGAATTTGAGTGGCTTTGATCAAGTGCATGATATTGTAGCTGTAGTAGAAGATGCCTCCTGAGAAAGTACACTCAGTCAGTCAAGAGAGGAGGAGGCAAAGGAGCATCCACGCCCCAATAAAAAGCAGCTTATTCTCTGTGACAACTTGTGCTCGTTGGGACTAATTTTATCAGTAATATTCTGGAGCGTGATACCAATACCCTCCCCTTAAATGATTAAAAGAAGCATGGCTCATGTTGATGTTGAATGTGTCATGATGTCATGATGTGCCTCAACATAATCTGAGGTAAACCAGGTGTCTGGTGTCATGGCCCAATACAGTCGGAGATCCAGTGCCTTAATAGAGACTGAGAGGTAAGTCTGAAATTAACTGTGTAAACTGTGCCACTGAAAAAGCACGAGGCCCTAAACTGTAAACCTTAAGGGTTAATCTCAAAAACGCGAACAAAACGAAAACACTAAAAGTACTCTACTGGTTAGGGTTATGTTTACTTTTTTTCTTATTTTTGCAGGGTTTTCATCTTTTTTCTCTTGTTTTCACTCGAGTATAATCACAGATGACTAACTACAGAGGATAAGAGGGTCAGGTGAGTACCATGCTACATCAGGTTCAGAGAAGGCTATTGCAGACAACTCTACAACATATACAACCACATTTTATACGTGTGCGTTACAAAGATTTTTTTTTAAACATATCACCAAGAAAGCAAATACAAGGTGTTGAGTATTTAGAGTCTTAAAGGACTATCCCTCTGTCAGCAATAGGACTTCATGTTACTTGACCTACACTGTCCAGTCTCACAGACAAAATCTGAAAAATTGCTATTAAAAAAGTAGCAAATTTGGTCAGTGTCACCTTTTTTTAAATAGTTATAGTGCTTTTAATAGCTTAAGACAGGGGTCTTTTTAATCTCACCCAGTGGCAAATCTACAGAACTTCAGTGTACATTTAATGACACCATAGCTGCTGCAAAAGTCTTCATGTCATGCCAAAAGGTAAAACAACAGCTAAGGCTGTAACATATACATATTTCAAAGTAGTATGCATTATCAAAAAGAAAAACACATTTATAAACAATTTATCCCCGCCTTCTTTTTTGTTTTGTTTATGGAGGGAGTTTAGCTCCATGTTCCTGTTTCCAGTGACAGTTATTAGTCTGAGAGGACAGGAATTTTGTCTCATACAGTCTCGAAGAAGATTTTATCTAAGCCTCCACCTTTGGGAGTGTCATCATACTACATACAAGCACGGGCGGGGGGCTTAAAACTCCCATTCCAGTGTTTCCTCTCGATTGGCAGCTCTCTCTAGCCTGTGGATGATGTTATTGAGATTGGCCATTTTCTCATTGCGTCTCTGAGTGCTTCGGTTGACTTTGGGGCTTTGGAAGGGAGGGATCTGGTTGGGGTCAAGGCTGTGAATGGTGCTGGTTGAGGGTCTGTTGGGCAGTGAGGGTGATATGGGAGCAGAGGAAGAAGGGACGGGGGAGACTGACATCATGAGGCCAGGTGAGGAAGCTGCAGAGGGGGAATTCAGGGAGACCTCCAGGCTGCTGCGGCAGGGCTCCGACGAGGACTTGAAGCTGATCGGGTCAAAGGGGGACTTCCCAGAGTCTTCACCCTTAGGCCTGGAGTGGCTGCCTCTTTGTAGTCCCTCAGTGGAACCTGAGCCGGAGTGGAACCCTTGAGCTTGGCTGGTTGATTCCTCGTCCCTCTTGCCAATCAAGTGAGGTTCAAGGCAGCCAGAGTCAGAGTCCTGGTGTTCACTTTTCAGCTGTGGGAATTGAACTGCCATAGAAAAACACTGAACTTTTGGTTCTGTCACAGAGTCCTCCTTCTCCTCCTCCTTGTGCTCCCCCAACGCCTCCTGTTTGACATGAGGCAGCGCGGTGTTGTGTCCTGAGAGCTTCTGCAGCTTCCTGTCCTCTCCGTCAGAGTTTGGGCTCCGTGTCACTGATGGCAGGTAGCTGTAGTGCCCAGCATCTGTGTCATTTCCCGGCAGACGCCCCATCAGCACTTCCCTTTGCATCCTGGACCTGCACACAAATGCTGGTCATTAGGGGCACTGAATGTACATTTTAAGGGTTAACCCTTTGTCAACCCTTAAAATGTACATTCAGTGCCTAATAAAGTGGCAAGTGTTCTTGTGAGTAAAGCAATACTTAAACGTTAAAAACGGCAGATAAAAGTTAAGTGGACTGGCCTGTAGTTGTGGAACCAGTTGATGACCGTATTGGTTTTGAGGTCGAGTTGGGAGGCCAGCATCTCAATGGTGTTCTGTGAAGGGTAGGGCTCCAGCAGGTAGGCCTTTCTCAGTGCATCCTTCTCCTCTGCTCCCAGCACCACCCTGGGCTTCTTCACATGGCTGTACGGACACAGGTCCAGGGAGACCAAGTTCGGACTCACACACTCAGATCGAGTGCTGGGTGAGTCACTGTCTGAGCTGCTGCTGAGCAGCCCGTATCGCCTCTTCAGATAGGCTGGAGGGAAGACAGTGATATCTGGTATAAAAGGATCACAGAACACCAACAACTCAAACTTGAGTCAAAAGTTAATTATGATTATTTTTGCTTTAAATACCATTAAAATACAAACCTTTCTTCTCTATCTTCTTGATGGCTCTCAGCTTGTCTACATTGTGAGGATCATTGAGATCATTGAGCCACAGCTGCATACGTACAAATGGTCCTCTGCCTTTTAGGCTGAGCTTGTGCCAGGGTTTGGGTCTGGAGAGCAGGTCTGACACAGAACCTTGTGTCAGACCCAGGATGGTTTCCCCGAAAAGTCTCTGACCTGTGAAGAAACAAAATCTCATGTCAGTCAGGTTTGCTTTCTAAAATGTATTTTTAGGTTGTACCAGAAGTGCAGTTTAATGCTTCTCACCGAGGTTGTTGTCTGTTAGCACCTCCTTCACCTTCTTGGTGATGGCATAAGTGTCCAGCTCTGGAGACATGGCCACCAGCTCTTGGATACCCAGCAGGTTTGTGGGCTGATGCAAAGCTATGTGCAGTGCAGGGGTGGATTTTCCTCCTCCCTCTGGGTGAGAGGGCAGACCCAGAGTCAGGCCCAGACCCAGGGCCAGGCTCTCAGGTTGCTGGTTCTCTTTGCTGCTTTCCAGGGACAGACCCACAGGTTCCACCAGAGGACTTGGATGACCTGCTGCTGGACTGGGCAGCGGGAAGGGTGAAGAATGGGCCGTCACTGGGCTTTTGTCTATTGATGGAGAAAAAAAAAGAAAGAAATTATGAAAGATGGACAGGGGTCCAAAAGGTCTTTTCATTTTAAGAACAATAATAGGTAAATGGCCCAGCATCAAAAACATCACTTAACTGTGGATTTAATAAAAAAGGCATAAACATTCAAAACAAACCTTGTGAATATAAACATGTACAGCATTTTATGGGCTTTTACAACTTTGGCTTTATTTTCCTCTGATGAGCCTGACTAATAAAAAGTGTGGCATTGTCTGTTTGGTGAGACATGTGTCTGGACATTACCCTGAGTATGGCCCTGACTCTGGGGTGGGTTGAGGCTTTGGCTCAGCTGGTCCAGTAACCACAGCTGCATGCGAATGAAGGGCTCTCTGCCTTTCTGGGTCAGTTTGCTCCAAGGTTTGGGCCGAGATAACATGTCACTTACACTGCCCTGAGAAAGACCCAGGACCTGGGAGAAAACAAAACAAGAAGTTAGACAATTAGGTGAAAATAAATTACTGCATAAACCAGGCATGCCCAAACTGTTCCTCAAAGGGCCATGTGGCTGCAGGTTTTTTTTCCAACCAACCAAGAGCACATAGTTTGACCAATCAGCTGTCTGAAGACTGAGACCAGTTGATTAAACCTGTCAACTCAGGTGTGCTACTGCTTGGTTGGAACAAAAACCTGCAGCCACAGCGGCCCTTCGTGGGACAGTTTGGGCACCCCTGGTATAAACAAACTATTGATTATTTACTATAATCAATCAATAGTTATTATGTTGTTGCTACTGAAATAAAAAGTAATACAGATTCTGAAAATAACCACTAGAGGGCAGTATCACACCATTTATAAGCTGTAAATAAGATGTGGCTGTGGATGTGGTTCCTGAACTTGTTTATTGGAGGTGCTGACCTTACCTATAATGAATGCAATTTCTACATTTAAGTTCAACACACGAGCAACATCTGACCTTTTCTCCAAAGATCCTCTGGCAGATGCCATTTTTGGTTAGCTTCTCCTTCACCTGCTGGGTCAACTCAATGGTGTCCACCTCTCTGTACATGTACATCTCATACTGCTCTGGGGTCAAAGGTGGTACAGTAGGTTTAAGGGCACGTGGGATGTATGCCGGGTAGTAGAACAGACATCCTGCACCAGGTCCTGAAGACTCGCCGCTTACTGAAGTGTCTGACTCCACCTTCACCTCCACTGGTCTGCCCAGTTCATCCTCTGCTGCAGAGGCCTCTTCACTGTTGGGGAGACACTCACCATTCTCCAGACGAGGCCACGGTCGCGACAACGTAGGAGGCCCAGAAGAGGAGGAGGACAAGGATGGAGAGACAGAAGTCAAGGGATGAGAACTACCTCCAGCACTAAAGGCCATGGAGCCCCGCTCCTGTGACAAGTGCTGATCAAAGTAGGTGCCAGCTTCACCAATCTCTGACTTGACTTTACGAATGATGTTCTGGACAAAGGCTGCAGGTGACAGCACACTGAGTGGAGTCTGGGGGCTGCTGATGGAGTTGGCCATGCACACAGTGACACAGCCCCCTTCCTCCTGTTTGATAGAGATGGGTAAAGGCAGGCCCCTGGTGCGCTCTGGAGGCCCAAGACGTTCCACTTGTGCTCCTGAGCTGGCAGCGGAAGCTCTTCCACAAGCTTCCATCTCCATCAGGGCATGCTGCTGGGCCTCCATCTCCCTCCTGGCCTGTTCTAGAATATTCTTTATGGTTTCATCTGAGCTGCTCCAAGCTCCATTACTGCTTCTGCCTGAAGAGCTGCTCAGAGACGAATTCCCATCACCTAAAATATGCATTAGAGTAGTACATCAAAGAGTTTAATAAAGCTAACATCATATTTAATTACCCAAAAAATTAATCAATATGGCTTTTAGCGTTGACATACAGGGGATATTAGAAGTTTACAAACTCTAGCTTTCAGAAGCCATGATTTTCAATGTCAAACAAAGACACCAAGATATTCATTGGCAGAACTTTTTCTATTTTTATTCAGAGGCTATGTGGAACATTACAATAAAAAACAACCAAAATGCCTTTTATAATTTGAAACTCTCTAGGCATAATCAATGCTACAATTCTCTTCTGTCATCACATAGTCACAAAAAGTACATTTTTGCTTTTGTACTAGAATTTTCAGCTCTCATGCTTTCAGTGTGGCATCTCTCAGAAACAGCAAAGATCTAAGAATTCCTCAAAAGGATCTTGTTTTTTAAGGTATTGCCCAGGAGACCTACATCAAAGGACTGTAGGTAAACGTCCTGTGTTGTGATAAGATGGCAGGTGTTTGATCCTAAATCTACAGATTACAATTGGCACAGAAATGACACTAGTTGTGGTAGATGTATGTCCATCCATCCATCCTTCCATCCATCTTCAACCGCTTATCCGGGGCCGGGTCGCGGGGGCAACAGTCTGAGCAGGGACACCCAGACTTCCCTCTCCCTCGACACTTCCTCCAGCTCTTCTGGGGGGACCCCAAGGCGTTCCCAGGCCAGCCGAGCGACGTAGTCGCTCCAGCGTGTCCTAGGTCTTCCCCTAGGTCTCTTCCCAGAGGGACGGCACCCGAGCACCTCCCGAGGGAGGCGTCCGGGGGGCATGCGATGTAAATGCCCAAGCCACCTCAGCTGACTCCTCTCGATGATGATTGAAAATCATACAAAGAAAAACTGCAGAAGATAGAGGTGCCTCTGTCAGCAGATCTCGCAAAGGTATAGCGTCTTAGTGTAGATCATAACAATAGTGATTTGTTGTTACACTTGTGAGTTGTTACTTGTCCTGGCAAGAGTCACATTGTGTTTTGTCTTAAGTTGGGGGACCAGAACAAACACTCTGCTGATGAAGACACTGTCCGTGAGAAGATGAAAGCTACCTTCACTTATCGCCAAGCAATGGTCAATGATGAAAGCAAATCAGCAGATGTCTTCTTGGTTTTCCCACATTTTCTGGACACACCAGGACTTGTACAACATCTTAATTCAATTGTTTCACGGCAATTCCCAGTATAGCCACAGTGCAGTAACTCTCATTGTTACACTTTGTTTGTATGTGTCTGTGTTACAGATTGAGCAAGATTTCAGACTTCTGTTTGGAGAGACCACTGCCAACAAATTCTTGGAGAAGTGGCCAACTTCTTTCAAAGCTAAAGTAATAATGGAGAGTCATCGACTTATACCCACTACAGAACTCTTGGATTTGATGCGCAGTGCAGAGTCAGCGGCTGAAGTTGAGAATGGTACGACATTGTTTACTTGATATTTCTGATTGCACACGTGTGCAGTGCCCTTTTTGGTAATGGTGCAACCTTTCAAATGAATATGCTATGATGTTAACACATTTTTGGTTTACATAACAAGTGACATGTCTACTTTTTTGCTGCTGCTACATCTACTGCCACCATCTGCGCAAGGTCGAAAGGCCAGGAAAGATGTTTGCATCTCAAACTGTACATCAGCTCATTAAATTTCAAAAGGTTTGTTAAAAAGTTGAATGAATGAATGAATTTTTCTTTACATCAATCTCACACCTTTTGAGATGTGATCAAATGTAGTCTAATCAGATTTTACTCACCACAACTTATGTTGAATGTCTTCTGTCACAGACTGGAATCAGTGTGCAGCAGCATTTAGACAACATCCCCCTTAGCAGCCAGTCCTACCTTCTTGCAGTGGGAACCACACCAAGCAGCATTCACCACTACTTCATTGTGATCGACAAGCATGCACTTCCTTGCAAGGCAACTGGTTCTGTGGGAGTCTTTGACAAACTCTTGAAGGCCCATTATGTCTTTGGTATGTCATACAGTTCCTCCTTGACCAACTTTTTCACTTTTGTGCAAACTACAAAAGACATGGGAGAAACATAATGGGCTCACTTACCGCCCACATTTGATTGTGTGTGGAGTTGAATCTAAAATGCCCTTGTTTTTTGAGTTTGATTATTGTATTGTTTTGATTATTGTTCTGATTATAGATGGAAAACTGTAATTGCTTACTGTGCCTTTAATTACAGTTACTTGTCAAGAACATCTCCATGCATGTGAAGTGAGAAAGCATGATTTTGTTTACTTTCATGTGGACAACCTGCAATATCCTAGGCCTTTTGACCTACAAAGGTAATGTAGGGTGATTAACTCTTCCTTATTGATTGTCCCACATTGCTTTCTTTTGTAAGCTTTCATTTTTATTTTAATATGCCATATAGACAATGCAAATATGAAGATCACTGGCACCTTAATGATTTCTAAAATAAATACTAGCACTGGCAATACTATGTTGTGTCCTGTTTATTTTCATTTCATAGTACATCACATTACTTATTATAGTATTATTATTATTATATTAATATAAATAAAATTATATATGGTTTAGAGACAGTAGCAATAGGCAGAAGACAGGAGACGG